CAAATTTGGTATATTCCCAGTCTGTATTAATAAAAACTAATATTATAATTATTTTATAATTTAATTAGTAATTCATTACTTAACCAAAGAGAGCTTATAGTATAATATGACATGGTTTACATATAGAAATTAAAATTTTTGGAATGTGAGCTGCTTCTATCTAAAACTTTTTTTATATTAAGTTAATCATCTTTGGGCCTCTAATTGAAGCTTATCAAGACAAATTTAATAGTAATTAAATCATTAAAATTAGCTTAGTAGATCACAAAATATTTTCAAAAAACATTTTATCAACTATGTAAACTTCTCTTTTAACAATAGTATTGTTGAAAGAGAAGTTTACATAGTCAGAAAAAGTTTTTTGAAGATATTTTGTGATCTACTAAGCTAATTTTAATGATTTAACTACTATTAGATTTGTCTTAACAAGTTGTACAATTTTAATTAAAGGCCAAAAGATAATTAACTTAGTACAAAAAAGTTTTAAATAGAAGCAGCTCATATTTCAAAAACCCTAATTTCTATATATAAACCATATTATATTACACTATGAGCTCTCTTTGGTTAAGTGGTGAATTACTAATTAAAGTTAATTATTAATTTATATACAAAATTTTATAAAAAAAACTTTTATTAAGATGCAAGAATCTATTTTATAAATAAAATTATTAGTTATTAAAAGTTTTTTAAAACAAAAATAAAAAAATTTTAAAAAATATTAAAAAATACTTTAGAACCAGGTTTTATACTAAGTAACTCAATTAGATCAATTAAAACAATATTGTTCTCTAGATTAAGATGATTCTAAAGATAGTGTAATTATTAAAAATAGCTTGATAAATCTCTTTTTATAGCTTTTCAAAATTTTAAAATAATTGTTTGAATCATATAATTTATATAAACAATCATTTTAAAACTTTGAAAAGCTATAAAAAAAGATCTACTAATATATTTTTAATAATTTTATCATTTTTAAAACTATTTTAACCTAAAGAATAATATTGTCTTAATTGATCTATTAAGTTACTTAATATAAAATTTGGTTTTAAAACATTTTTTTATTTATTTTTAAAAATATAAAATAAATAAAAAGTGCTTTAAAACTAGATTTTGTACTAAGTAAATCAATTAGACTAATTAAGACAATATTGTTTTTCAGATCAAAACAGTTCTAAAAATAATAAAATTATTAAAAATGATCTAGTAAATCTTTTTCTATAGTCTCTCAAAGTTTTAAAACAATTGTTTATATAAATTATATAATTTAAACAATTGTTTTAAAATTTTAGAAGGCTATAAAAAAAGATCTACTAAACTATTTTTAATAATCTTATTACTTTTAAAACTATTTTGATCTAAAAAACAATATTGTCTTAATTGATCTAGTTGAATTACTTAACAGATATATGTTACTATACATAGAAATAAAACATTATCTACTCTGCTTCAGACAATTATTATATATATTTTTTTAATTTTTTACTTTCTTTTACAAGCTATATTATATTAAACAAAATTACTTAACTTGATCTTAATTTAACAAATATAATAATAAGTAAAAATTTTTATTTTTATTAATAAAAAATAACAAAATTAATAGTATTTTTAAACATTATATTTACTATGATTTAAAAAAAATTATAAAATACAAAAAAAATTTTTATTAAAAGAAATAATTAAACCTTATTAAATTAATCAATATTTATTTTATACTAATTTTCAAGAATAAAAAAATAATAACCAAATACAGTATATATATCAAATATAGTTAATAACCATTTATATTTAATAGTTAAAAATATAAAAATTTATATTTTATCATAACATTAGTATTTTATCTCTTTTGATTGCAAATTTAACAAAAAAATATTTAATTTTGTATAAATAAATGTTTTGATTTGAATTATTATAATACTATTTTGAATCCTCTAATAGGATAATTCAAATAGTATCAAAATAATTCAAATCAGATTACAAGATATTATTATATTCTTGTACAAAATTAAATATTCTTTTGTACAAATTTGATGTCAAAAAGAATATATCAAAAATATAAAATATAGAGCTTCTTACTGCAAGCAACATATACACTAAAACAATTATTGCAAATTATAATGAAAATTGGATTAAAATAAAATTTGATGTTTCTATTCAACTTTCTAAAACCCATTTATACCGTCGGTCACTGCCTACAGTATCCCACAAAATAATATCCTACCACATAATATATCTCTTCTCCACCAATGAGGATTCGTGAATAGTAAGTACCCGCTACTATTCAATTTTTAAAATGAAGTTCTTGAATAAGACCCTGGATACTGTAGGCAGCGGCAAACGGTACTTATTTATTATAAATTCTACCCTGATGCTGACCCTAAGCTTAAGAAAAGCTAAAAAAATACATCCTCAAAATTCGTATTTTTCGGTAGCTTGTCTATTTTGTATTATACAAAATTTCATTTTAATTTGAATTCATTTTAATTTGCCACAGATAATAACTTAAAAAAATCAGAAAAAAATTTTGTTACATAAATCTATTTATTATTAAATTATAAACACACCTGCTATTAAACTAATTCACTTGCCGTTAAAATCGCTAACATATTCCGTTGAAGTTGCTAATCTATCTAATATTAAAGTACTAACCTGTCTACTGTAAAGAGCACTAACAACCATCACGAGCCATCTGCAGGCAACGCTATATGGAGATAAACATCGAACCTAATGTAAATCTAAATTTCTTGATTTTTTTGATCAATTACGAATTTTAATTTTAATTGCTTGTATGCAATAAAATTTATTTGTTTAGGCACAATTTCTAAATAAGAGTTTTTGGATAAAAGAAAAGTCGGGCTGGATATATTATATTAAATGAGTGTCACATGCGATGAGATTAAAATTTTGCTATTATGACATTTTATATCATCAATTTTCTGGTTATATAAGCAAATTGACGCGTATTTCTAAATTTGCAAATGAAATTTCATCATTTATGATTCATTATTAACTATCCGACTAGTCCGCATGTATTCGTCATCAGAGATTTATTCTATAAAGCAGAATTTAAACTACGAATTATATCAAACATTAAAATTATCGTATTTTCAAAAAAAAAAAAATTTTTTTTATTCAATATTATTTGATGATTTATAATTTTAAATTAATAATAAATATTATATCGAGATATTTTAAAAAAAAGTTTGAGTAAGGCTTGGCCACAAATTGATCGTAATTTCAAAAAAAAGGACAAAGTTAATCCTTCTCTGATTATAAAGTGTAAAGATTATTTATAAAAAAAAATGTTTTACTCTAAAGAAATATTAACGCGTAAAAAAGGTGGTTTAGGCATTATTTGGTATGCTAATTTTAATACAATACTTGATTATAATCAAAAAAGAAAATATTCAATTTTTAATTTTTACATCATAAAATGCTAGGCTCGCAGCTACTCTAGGATCTCGTTCTAGTCTTAAAAAATTGTCAAAAAAAGAAGTCAATTCTGTAAATTTAGTAAAGGCATGGTAATTATTTTGAACTATCTGACATATTGGGTTATATCTATATTTTTTGATAATTAAGGTGATTTGCACCTAATAATTATAGTGAATATGTTACTTCTCCACCAGAACCATTGGCTCTTCGTTTAACTTCCAATCTTATGATTGGAATCACAAGAGTCTATGATCAACAATATCATTTTTATTACAGTGATGTAAACTGTGTATGGAATCGTTTGCATAGAACTTTAATTGAATTACAGAAAGAATCAGTAGATATGATCGTACCACAAGCAAGGTATCTAAAATAAAATAATAAAATTAGAATTAAAACAACGCGCTTTTATTATCGTGAATTAATCAATTACTCGCGTCAAAGGCCTGAAGCGATTACTTTAGCAGATGATCCATTTTTCGAAATTGAAATGACTTTTTCACACAAACCACAAGATTTTAGTGTGGTAAAATTATGCATTTTAATTGTCATGCAATTATTTACACCCGGACAAATTTGCATTATTAATACGTTATTTTAAAGGTTCCTGATATTGAAGAGACTACTAATAGGACACAGCAGTCGCCGACTGGTAAAAATAAAATTCTGGCTACATAATGAATCATTTTTATTTAAATAGCTCTTAATATATTTTCGATCAATTCTTAATTTTGCTATAGTCTCATCATTTCCTCCCGTTAGAGCAAGTGGATCATCAAATGTTACGCGTCAATCATTAATTACACTTCCCGAAGTTAGTGATGCGGACCTTTCAGTTTCTTCTATTAGTGGATTTAGCGGAGGATTTGATGCCGGATTTGAAATTAATGATGATTTACTTATGATGGATGACAGTGGGTAAGTGATAAACTAATGTTTGTTTATCATGGATTATTTCGAAAATTAATACTTCGGAATAGAATTAGAATTGACTTTGATGAAGAAGGTGGTCTACACGAATTTGAACTTCGATCTGATGGGCAGGATGAAACTCAACAACAAAATGGCCATGATCCTTTAAATCCGGATATGAATGAAATCATGAAAAGAGTTAGAGAAGAACATGACGCTGGCCTTCAAGGAAATAACAAGGAAAAGAGACGAATACGTCAAAAGGAACCTGCTCCAGAAGAACAAGAAGTGGTATATAATTCAATTAATTATTCATTCATTATATAATACTTGCTTATATGAGTTTTATAATATAATCAACAGGATGACCAAATTGCGGACGTTCAAATGGATATAGAGAGAGAAGGTATGCAAGAAGTTCTACAACAAACAGCTCACGACGATCAAGAAGTGCTACAACACGACGACCAAGAAGTGCTACAACAAACAACAAATGACGATCAACAAGCACCAAACATCGAAACCAATGTCAGACCATCATCAGTCGAACCAAGGCGACAAAAAAGACGAAGACTTCATTAT